TCCTCTTTGTCTCTCCTCTCTGTATATCCGCCTTTCCAATAAAAAAAAAAAAATGTGTAAACAACGGGATGCTGGACTGTCTGACACTGTGTGTACCAGCAGTGTCGGATCACAATTAAGACTGATGGAATTATGACTCCTTATGAAGGGCTATACAATTGTAGCAACATGGGGAAAATCTGTTGTGGGGTGGGAGTTTAGAGGGGGAATCCCAGTCTCTATGAAATTGTACCATAAAATTCAAAAATTCAAAATTAAAATTTAACAAAAAAGTCTCTTAATGTCCAAATGTAAGTATGTTTAGATCTTGTGCATTCAGTTAAATTTGGCCTCAACTATTTCATATTTTTATCACTGTATATGACAGTTACCTTGTATCCTATTATTTTACTAAATTCACTCTTCCTATATTTTCTTCATGAATTTCTTAGGGTTTTCTTTTATTTTTTTAAGGGGTTTTATTTAAAAGGCAGATTTTATATAAATAGAAGGAGAGTCAGAGAGGTCTTCCATCTGCTGCTTCACTTCCCAAATGTACATAATAGCTGGAGCTGAGCTGATCTGAAACCAGAAGTCAGGAGCTTCTTCTGGGTCTCCCACGTGGGTGCAGGGCCCAAGGACATGGGCCATCCTCTGCTGCTTTCCCAGGCCCCCAGCAGCGAGCTGGATGGGATGTGGAGCAGCCAAAACACAAACTCGTGCCCATATGGAATACCAGTGCTCGAAGGCTGAGGATTAGCTAGCTACACCACTAGCCCCGTGTCAATGTAAATGCTTAACAAAAGTAGCAAGAGCAGACATCTTTAATTTGATTGAAGCCTTAATTTTCTTAATGCTAAGCCAGTATTACATTTCTTGGATAATTCGAGTTGGTCATGATGTATTATCATATATATGTATAGATAGCATATATATCTATATATCCAATTTGATTTAAAATGTTTTAGGAAAAGATTTTTGCATCCACATTCATCATGGATATTGATTTTTTTTTCTCTTGTAATTCCATTCTCTAATTTTGGTGTCCAGGCAGTGTTGGTCTTAGGTTGTTTTGGAAGTGCTATCTCACCTCCTCTATTTTCTGAAAGGATTTGTGTAGAATTAGTATTATTTCTCACTTTAATCTTTACAAGAATTCTCCAATGAGATCACCTAGGCTAGAGTTTTCTTTGTAAGGAACCTCCCCATCTTTAATACAGGAAGGCTTCTGTGGTCTCATCAACACGATACACCCTTGAGAATGAAGGAAAATCAAGCTATAAAAAACCACCATTCCCTAAATAAAAATGCTCCTAGTACACACTGTTCTACCAAACACTGTATCTTCCAGCTTTGCCAATAAAGGATGATAACTGAAGTGCTTTCAATAGAATATTTTCATATAGGTATATTTTAAACCTTTCTTAAAAATACTGTCTGCAGCCAAAAAATACCCAACTAGCTAACAAAATATGTAAATCTGATTTCCACCAGTGATGCTACATCATCTCCCGTGATCCTGTGCCTCTGCTGTGGTCAGACCACACGTGAAGGCAAAGGAGGCACAGAGTGAGGCTTAGTTCTCACATATTTTTATTACCTGGAGCGAGATGTGATACAGGGGCTAGTGCAGTGGTTCAGTTTGCCAATTCTCTGCAATGCAAAGACTGGCATCCCATATGGATACCAGTTTGTGTCCTGGCTGCTCCATTTCCCAACCAGTTTTCTTATTGCCTGGCAAGCCCCAGAGAATGGTTCAAGTATTTGTGCCCCTGCACATTTCAGGGGAAACCCAGAAGAAGCTTCTGGTTCCTGGTTTCAGATCAGCTCAGCTCTGGCCATTGTGGCCATTTAGGGGAGTGAACCAATGCATAGAAGTGCTCTCTCTCTCTCTCTCGATCTTTCCAACAAAAATAATAAATCTTAAAAAAAAAAAAAAAGATGTGGCACAGCAGTGAAGCCACCTCTACAGAGGTCCATCTCCCGTATCAGAGAACCTGGCTTTCAGTCTTGCCTCTGCTTCTGATCTAGCTTCCTGTTAATGTTCACCCTGGACGGCAGCAGATGATGGCTCAACCCTTGGCTCACTCACTGATCCAGGAAACCCAGATGAAGGTTTCCTGGCTCCAGCCTGACGCAGCCCCCAATCATAAGCCTTTGGTGATTAAACCAGCAAACAGAAGCTATTTCCCTGTGCCTTCCAAATAAAATTAAGCATTCTTAATATATTTTTTTAAAATTTGGAAAAGAATTACCAGCTTTTAACAAAGTAAGCAATGCAAAAGCACATAAAAAGGAAAATAACCTTGCCTGCATACCTTGCAAATAAGATTTTTTTTTTCTTTTATGGAAGATAGAATTTAGTACCTAATCAGGAAGTTGGATCAGCAGTGGAGCAGCCAAGACTCAAAGTGGCACTTATTTTGACATGCCAAGCTATAACACTAGCCCCACATGTAATCTCCATGCACCTTTTGAAGACCCTCCAAGCACAGATATTTTTCCTTTTTACTTCTTTTTTCTCCTAAATGTGAAATCATGATGGGTTCATCATGATGAATCTCCCTTGTTAGCCTAAGAATAACTATTTTTCAAGGCATGTACATGTATTGCTTATGTTTTCTTATTAAGAGCTGCCATGCTTTCCTTAACAAGAATTTATCAAAGTTTACTCATCCATTCCCCTATCTGATGGTGTTGCCAGTGTTTGGCCTTCTGAAAATCATTCCACACTAAGCATCTTTGTACTTTCTATGGCCTTCACTCCTGTAGATTCGTGGAGAGGGATTTCTGGGACAAAAGACATACACATTTCCTAGTCATTTGTACATATTTTCATGTGTTTATTCACCATTTATAGTTTTCTGAAATTACAGATCTATATTTTTACAGATCTATATTTTGCCCATTTTTACAGATTTTGTTTTTCCTGACAATCTGAAATTGTTCTTTGAAGATTTAGAATATGACAAATGTATTACAAGAATGCTTCCCAACTATTTTTTTTTTTTTAATCTTTGTTAACAGTGTCTTTGGACATACTTAAAAAACTTTTTTCTCAAAATCTCATTTTTCATATGCGTTTTGGGTTTACTAACTTATTTGTGGTTTCACAGGAATTATAAAGATATCCATGTAAATCTTCTGTTTTGCTTTTTACATTCAAGCTTGAGATTGCCATAGTTCTTCATGTTTTGTGGCATTTCCAACTTTTCATGGTACATGCTCAGCGCAGATCATGGCTCCCCTGTTTTCAGGCCTTTGCAGCAACCTCAGGAAGGGCAGCCACCATATCTGTATTTTTTCATTGCGTCCTTCAGGTACATGTTGCAGAGAACACAGGCACTCCAAACCATTATGGGAAGGAAGATATTGAATTCATACCCACAGCACTAAGATCCCTTAGCAACTGGGATACTGCCTGTTCATACACATAGACAAGGGGAAATGTTATTCTTCTTGTTGAAGCCATTCAGAGACTGTTGAGCTAACACTATGGTCTCCTCCTCTAGGTTTCTGTCCTCCAAGGCAGGCTGTCCTGTAAATCTGCTTCATCTATAAGGATTCCCTTCTTCAGGGAGGCTTTCTTCACACCCAAAGACATTTATAAACCTTGCCACACTACTCAGCATTTTCACTACTGTTTCAGTAAAATCCTTCTCGGTGCCAGGCACATAGCACATTACTATTCCAAGTGCAGACAGCACAGTCTTGCATGTCAGGGCTCCCAGTGAAGGCTGAAGACCAGCCCCAAGGTTTGCTACTCAAGATCCTGGGTCTAAGGAGACAGCAAACTGGGAAAAGGTAGAAAATAATCCAGAAAACTGTTGATTATCAGAACGGCTTCTCAAGGAAGACTGTGATCACATATTATTTTAAGCACACATCTGTTAATGAACACACGAGAAGGAGCTATCCCGTCTGAAGGCAGAGATCGATGGGCTTTCTCAGGATATTTTTTTCCTTGGTTCCTGGGGGGCCTTCTCCAGGTTGAAGCTCTGGAGCTTCTGAGACAAAGGGAGAGACCCACTCTGACTCTGTTGGCTTTGGAATCAGAACCTGAGCGGCTGTCAGAACTCCCAGCAAGCATTTTATATGATTGTCCAGCTAGGACAGGAACGCAGAAGGTGGGCCCAGAGCGCCTTGAATGCCGAAAAGGGAGAAAAGCAATGCAAGATGAAATGATAGGGTACGTCAGGGGAACAAACTCAGAGCCAAGAGAAAAACTGCTGGTGGCCCAAGCCTGAACAATATGAGTAAAAACAATGCTAGCATTTCAAGTATAGCCTAAAAGAACATATACCCAGGACATCTTCTGGATATAAATTTAAAGATGAATGAATGTGGGAGACAAAAACCCCATACAGATCTCCAAATCATAATGCAGACACTTCATTAACTTCCTGCCTCTTCCTAACATGCCTTGTGTCTTGCTTCTGAAGCACACAATGTAAAAAGATAACCAACTAACTTCACAGTGAAAAGGCCTGGCAAAGACTGCCTGGGACAGGTGACTAAGAGAAACATCAGCCTTGGAAAAATGTTGCTACTCTATACTGCTGATTTGATCTGTGACACTTCATCTCTATGGTTTTCCTCCCCCAAACTAAGCCAATCTAACCATAAGTAGATCTCAGTTGAGGTACATTCTGTAAAATACTTCACTAGTTCTCAAAAAGCATGTCTACAACTGTCACAGCCTACCTGAGTTTAGGGAAACATGACAATTAAATGCAATAGAATATTTCAGATAGGTCCTGGAATAGAAAAGGGACACTACACGAATCTACAAATCCAAATAAAGTGTGGACAGCTACTTGCAGCGATTTTATTGTGATAAATGTGCCCCACATAAAATGTTAACAGAACTGGGTGTGAGGCATTTGGAAACTCTATACTACCCTTTTACCTTTTTCTAGATCTCTAGTTATTCAAAATGGGCGCTTACTATTTCTAAAGTGGGTAGCTTAGGCACCAGATTGACTGCCTGCTTATCTGCACAATTGTGCTTTTACTTACAGGGTGCTGGTGACAGCTTCGTGGGAGCACTGGCATTCTACCTGGCTTATTATCCACATCTGTCCTGGGAAGAAATGCTCAAGAGATCCAATTTCATCGCAGCAGTCAGCGTCCAGTCTACGGGGACACAGACATCTTATCCATACAAAAAAGACCTTCCACTTACTCTATTTTGATTACTGTTAACCCCCACATAAAACAGACTCAGGGTCTGCAACTTATAGCTAAGATTTATTTTTAAAATGTCCTGTACTCTCATCTTTACTTGCAAATATGTTCAGTTACTAAAGTCATCTTCATTCACTTTTTACTTTGCTATTGATGCATCTGCAGGAGCCAACCAGAATTTAAAGTTCAAGTTAGGTGGGCCTAGCACAGTAGCCTCGTGACTAAAGTCCTTGCCTTGAACATGCCAGGATACCATATGGGCACCAGTTCTAATCCTGGTAGCTCCACTTCACACCCAGCTTCCTGCCTGTGGCCTAGGAAAGCAGCTGAGGACGGCAAAAAGTCCTGGGACCCTGCACCCACATGGGAGACCCAGAGGCAGCTCCAGGCTCCTGGCTTTGGATCAGCTCAGCTCCAGCCACTGCAGCTGCTTAGGGAGTGAATCAATGGACAGATCTTCCCGTCTATCCTCTCTGTATATCTGACTTTCCAAAAAAGAAAAAAAAAAAGTCTTATATTAAAAATCCCAGTTAAGAAATGCACTACTAGCCATGTTCAGGGACTGGCAAGCTCTGTTGTCAACAAATTACTAAAGGTCTATGTACACTTATATCAGGGGCTATGGCCAACAATGCCTAGAGCCAGAGCAGTAAATGTTGAATAAAGAAAAGGGACATCTCTCTCATTTATTACTCAAGTGCTGTGAAAACTGATCTTTTGCAAATTAAGCACAACCTCTGGGACATATTCAGACTGTAAACTTAACAGCTCAAGTCATTTGTTAAGCCAAATGTTAAGTTTTTTTAAAAAGGGGGATCCATGCACATCCCATATCCTTTAGGTTGGCTTAGCTAAAACCAGTAGATTTGTCTTGTAACCCAAGACCACTGTGTATACTTTTAAGCTAAAAATAGCTAAGATCTCACTGATTATTGCTTTGAATCAGAGCAATAATGATATGCCATAAAACAGCTGACTGACTATGCCACAAGAGGCTCGCCAACTGCCGCCATCTAATTCTATTTTCAGAGAGCTGCCCTGCATTTCCTCTAAGATGCAGACTGGGCTGTGAGGCTGGAACACCTGGTATCTGGGGACAGCGTTGGTTTCTTGCTGCTTGTTGCTGGCTAGTCACTGTTACTCTCCCATACAGATGCTTCGGGTATTAAGAGTTACCATAAAAATAAAACCTCTTAAACCAGGGATTTAAAAAAAAAAAAAAAGGAAATTGGACAATTTTGAAAAGGCTTGGGAAACAGTAGCCTAAGAAGGTGTGCAGCCTGGGAGAGCAGAAGTCCATGTGGGAACACGCTCCAGTGAACCCTGTGATCAACCAGGCCTTAGAAGCCCTGGCAGAGGCTGCTTATTTGAAAGCACAGATAGGGAAAGACAGAGAGAGATCTTTTATCCAGTGGTTCACCCTCCCCCGCCAAAACAGCCACAACTGGGCTTGGCCAGGCCAAAGGCAGGAGCCTAGAACTCCATGAGTGTCCCAAGTCGGGGACAGATGCATTAGCAGGGAGCTGGATTGGAAGTGGAGCATCCACTTGTGGAATGCCAGCATCACAAGCAGTGGTACCTCACAGTAATTTTAAACACAATAGTTCCCTTTCATTTGAAGTACGAATCCAGAGGCTGAGCACCCTTAAGTGGTCCTGGAGAATACCAGTTTTGGCTTCAGTGACCAAGTTTCAGGATATGGACCAAAGGCATCCTTCCTAGTTAAGTGAGCACAGGCTAAAACAGACGTTCTCCTGGTTCCTTTTGTGTGGCGAGGCTTCCTTCAGATCCTCACTGCTCGCCCTTGCCATCCGCGGTTACTGTCTGGGACTTTGTCCAACCTCACTCCTCAGCGTGACACTGCCTGTTCTAAGTACAAGCAGCAGCAGGCTGGAAACTCTTACATAGATCTCATTAGGAAAAACATCTTTTATTACATGAAACAATGGCTATTTTTCAGTAATGTAGTTAGGTTTTTTTCATTCCAAATAGTGGGGAAAAACATCACTGAAACACAATAGCACAGGCTATTTTAATATTTTTTATTAAGGGCTATAAAAATATCCAGAAAGATAAATAAATATGATGCAATGATATATGTCCTAATATGAAGAATTTTCTTTCACTGCATTGTTTTCCTTCACAATGGCCTTCAAATCACAGGAGGCACTGATTCCATGCCATTTCCTCTTCTTTCATTACGCACTGCAGGTTTCTGAATCAGTATCCCACCCTTAGTCTTCTCATTTATAAATCAAATTCATTTGCAGTCCAATATTTAAAGGGATCGTAATTTTTTCTGTTCCACGAAGAGGACTTTTTTGTTCACTGTAGGGGGAGAAAAAAGGATTGTAGCAGAAAACCAGAAAATGTCATCACAATTTTTATTGAGAACACATATCAGAGCCCGCCTTCTCCCTCATCTTCTTTTACTATTCCTTTGACGTGAAGAAAGGGCTGATTTGCAAACTCAGCTGCTCAATCCCAGAGGCCAGAGAAGGGAGAAAACGTCTAGGAAAACAGGATAGAGCCACCAGCCAGTCAGCGCATTCTTGGTAACCCACAAAGCTGTATTTCAACCAATGTGAAATGTGCATTTAAAAAGAAAACTAGGGCAACAGTGGCAAACAGACAACGTTTTCACCCATGTAAGGTCTCCTCTTGTAGCAAATAAGCAGAAAGGAAGCTGGATTCCAGAGCAACCACAGATCACAGAAAAGGAGGTCTGGCTGAAAGTCACCCCAGCGCAGTCCCCAGTCTCTAGCAACGATTTAATACACCCAAATGTGAATTTTTAATTTTGGTAATAGACTGTTTCAGACAAAATGTCATTAGTGTAAATACTATACAGCTTTCAGAAACAAAATCAAAACAGACGTGCTACCTGCCTGGTTGAATGCAAGCAGCTAGATGCTGGATAAAGACTTTCACAGTTCCTATAATGCCTTAGAACACTCCAGGTCACACACACGGTGAACGCGTCAGACAGGGTCAGACCCTTGAACGAACAGCATCTGGATGGATGAACTGAGAGTACTGAATGGCTGGGGGTGGAGACAAATAGTAGCAGAAAGCAGAAATCGCACTGGGACACTATGGCCTTGAATGCTAGACTGACTATAGTACACAGACCTAATTTAAAAAGAAATAAAAGCCGAAGGAGGATTAAGTTGGCTCCGTGTATTAGAACAGAAACTTAAGAGACAGAAAGGCCACATTTAAACCTTGACTCCACCATTTGCCAACTCTTGAGTCCTTGGGTCAATTTCTCAAAATACTGAGTTTCCACAGGCAGGTAAAGAAGCCAGCTATGGCACCAGCATCCCATCTGGGCACTGGCTGGAGTCTCAGTTGCTCCTCTTTTGACCCAGCTCCCAGCCAATGCACACGGGACAGCAACAGAGGATGGGACAAGTACTTGGACCCCTGCAGCCATGCAGGAGACCCAGATGAAGCTCCAGTCCCAACTCTGGCCATTGCAGCCATTTAGAGACAGAGGATATCTGTTTCTAACTCTTTAGATAAATAAAATACATCTTAAAAAATGAACAACAAAAAACAAACAAACAAACAAAAACACTGAGCTTTCCTGTTAAAAAGAACTCCACTTCCCTTCTGGAATTGTTGCTAGACATGCACTTCACACTCACTTCATGTTAGCTGAACTGAAATGACACACCGCCAGCCACAATTATCATCGTAAATTAATTTTGTCAAAATATTTGCTGCTTAATTCATAGAAGAATGCATTTGTCAAGTTCTTTCCCTACATCAGGCCTAAATATATTCTTTTTCAATTAATGTCTATATTGTCTTGTTTGGTCATGCAAGGAATTAATACTGACACGTTTTCATCCTCCTTATGACAAATCTCCATATAGTTAACTAAGCTTATTAAGCATATGCCCCGGTCTTTTATCTTCCTCCCTGGAAATCTGCATCCAGCTACATGAGAAAAAGAAGGCTGCTGCTGCCATAGCATACTATGAACCGCTCAAATAGCTGAGATTTTGCCCATGCTTCCTTACCTGGTTTCCCTCATGAGGGACTAACAAAACACCCTCAAACTAATAAAAAAACATCCTCAAACTAAGTTTACTCATTGCAGTAAATATACTAGGAGCACTCCCAAGCTAAACTGGGCAATGCTACAAGCCCCAAGGCAAACATCCTCACAAAAGCTGCAGGGCAAAAGAAAAACACACACACACACACACACACACACACCACCCCCGCCAGGCGTCCAGCAGGTGCACATCCTCACAAAAGCTGCAGGGCAAAAGAAAAAAACACACACACACACACACACACACACACACACACACACACACACACACACACACACACACACACACACACACACACACACACACACACACACACACACACACACACACACACACACACACACACACACACACACACCCCCCCCCCCCCCCGCCAGGCGTCCAGCAGGTGGGCAGAGAGCCAGGCAGTCTGCTATCACGTCAGAGAACGTTCTCTTCTTCACTTCTTCCTTCCGTAAAGACAAACGTGCCGCCAGGTTCTGACCATTTCCAAACAAGAAAGTTCTAATTGTCTATTGCTCATGTATTTACTATTTACTCATCTATTCCTCACTCACTCACTTAGAGGATAGCAGTAGAGTTCCCATGTGCTGCCCAGTACCTGTACCAGCCTCAAGCCAAAGCCAGACCCAGGCCTCCAAGCTGTTTTTATATGAGACGGAAAGAGACAGAGAGAGAACTTCCAACCACTGCTGTCCATGTTGCAGCTGAGTCAGGAGCCTGGGCCTTCTATGGAGTACCAGGAACCCAGACATTCAGCTCAGCACTCCTGGCATTACAGGCTGTGCATCAGCGGGAGGCCAAAGCAGGGAGCAGAAGCCAAGCACTCGAGCCTGGAGGCAGGCTCCCGGGCAGAGGCTGGCACACTGCACCCACACCTGCTCCACAGAGGGATCGCTTTGCCCACTTATGATCAGAGCTGCTTATAGTTAATCCTTTCTCAATCTCAAAACTTAAAAGCAATCTATTATATATTCCGATCACTACCACACAAGAGATGAAATTTTCCAAACATTTTCATACTCAAATTATCAACAAAGATTACTCAATCAGCATTTATTAGTGCTGTGAAGTTTAAAAAATAAATTCTAAGAGTTTAAATGATGGACAAGTCATTTGTTATAACTGCATTTTCACCAGCTAACACTAAAGTCAGTAAAAATATCATAATAACCCCAAATCAAACCTATCCTACCAACAATTTTTATACCATATAAGAAAATTGCCTCAGTCAGCAGGTACTAAACTAAAATTCTCTTCTTTTTATTATAACGAATGGCCAAATATTTGAATATCATAAAAACGTCAGGGAATTTTATTTCTATTAAAAAATGGAACTCAAGCCATTTGAACTGACAATTGTGCTTCTTAGAGCCTTTTCTAAATGCCTCCCATGCTAACCGTATTAAGCAGCTGAGTATAAAGAGCACAAAAATGAAATGAACCAGAGTTTGAAAACAATAATTAGTTTGCTAGCTTATTTTGCATACATCTGCACATAAAACAGAGAAACAAGACTGGCTTCCACCAACACCAATCAGGAGCAGGGGACACTTGTCCATGACAAATACTTCCCTCAGCTGAGGCCCTTGAAATGACCATTATAGCACGTGGTAGATGGCAGAAAATGGAAAGTCAACTTCCCACCCTTCAGCACTAACACAGACTCCACACTCCTTTAACTTGCATCTGGACCCAGGAACTTGACACTCCCTTCTCAAGACCCTCGTCTCCAGAACAGTACCTCCTTCCCCTTCACATCACTGAAGTGAACCATCTCCTAGAAGGATGTTCCCTGATCTTTCCCCTCTAAAGTCCAGTCGGCTCACCGCCTCCCATCTTCAGCTTCCCATCTCCTCATCCTCTCATGATCCTCATCATAAGTTGTCATTCTCTCCCTCTCAAAACAGACTGGCCAAGAGGCACCAGGACTGAATCCATCACTGTCCTGGTGTATCGCTGACCCTGGGCCAGTTAACTAACACCCAGTACATCCTGGTGTAAGCACCCAGTACATCCTGGTGAGTGACTGCTGCAGCAGCAAAGGTGTCACAAAACTACCGGAGGTGTTCGGTCTGGAAAGGAGGCCACAGGCCCTGGAAGCACTGAACCCACTGCGGGTTCACTTCTCTGGTTCTTACCAATTGGATCATAATGCAGAAGAGTCAGTTTCTCCCGTAGCCGGCTCCTCTTCGTGTTGAAGGAGAAACCCGTCCCCGCTTGGCTTACCATTCTCACCAGAATGGTTCTAAGATTAAAAAAGTAAGCTGTTATAATAAAACTCATCGCAACAGTATGATACATTTTTTTAATGAGACATTTTTGAACCGAGAAAACAGCACTTGTGACATGGCACATCACTCAGCCTCAACAATGTTCAGTTGTAAGACAGCCTACATTTTCCATAAAACACAATTTGAATGACTTTTAATCCTGAGGTCTGCTCCACTACTGAGTGACCTGGTATCAATGCAACCAAAACCCTAAGATCATTCAAGCCATCATGTGGGACTAGCCTCAGACACCTGACTTTCTTAAGGTACAGAAGCTGGGAGGAGGAAAACACAGAAGTACTGGGAACCACAGCTCGTTCGTCGGGCAACTGTGAAGCTGGCTGTCTCAGAACAGCCTTCTCTTATGGGGCACAAGTACAAGAAGACAGCAAGGAACAGAAACAGGAGGAGATGAGAAGTTTGAGATTGCTAATATGCAAACCTCACGTCCTTCCTGTTTCAATGCAGTTACAGTCACCCAAGGCATAAAGTCCGTGCTTGCCTCACTGCACTTGCTCATACCTATATGGACATCACTTTTCAGGTGTCTTGTGCTCACTCCCCCAACCTAGAGCAAGTTAATTATCTCTTGTGTTATTATGAAACAAATTTGGAGCTGCAGGCCACAACAACTTGTCACTTTTGGTGTCCAGCACAGTGGCTCACAGATAATCCTTCAAACCACGAAGATCCAACAAGTATCTTTCACTTGCTTACTCCCTAGAAAGCACTATGGGAAACTGGGAACTTTCTAGTATGAAAGGTGAGTTCATACACAAGGCCTAAAATGCAAGCCAAACATGAAAAATATCACAAGAATGGTACCAAGAACATGAAAGGTAGGGAACAGCTATGCAGCAAACAAAGGCACGGGATTCCTACAGAACCTAGGGGAAGGAAATTGTTGTGTGTGGTCTTCTCAAGATTTATTTTTTTCAAAAGGCAAAATAACAAAGAAACAAAGATTTCCCATTGCTGGTTCACTTCCCAAATAGCTACAATAGCCATGTCCAGGCCAGGCGAAAGCCAAGCACTCCATCCTGCTCTCCCATCAGGGCGGCAGGGACCAAGTTCCTGGGCCATCTTCTGATGACAGTCTAAGTTCACTGAAGCTGGATCAGAAGAGGTGCAGCTGGGACTCAAGCCAGCACTCTGACACGGCATGCGATAGTAGATCTATTGTGCAACACTACCCCTGTTCTTGCAAGATTCATTTATTTAAGGAGTGACAGAGGAGACACAGAAAACACCTTCCATCTACTGGTTCACTCTGCCACTGCCATGCTGAAGCCAACAACCATGAACTCCAGCTGGGTCTCCAAAACAAGTGGCAGGAAATTAGATAGTTGGACCTCCCAGGCCCATTAACAGGAAGCTGAATCAAAAGCAGAGGCAGACCTCAAACTCAGGACTCTGATATGGGACGCAACACCTTTAAGTACAGGCTTAACCTGCTTCACATCTGTCTAGGAAGTGAACAATTCTGACCTACGGGCTAGTGGATCAGTGATACCAGCATTCCACATGATCGATGGTTCAAGTCTCAGCTGCTTCCATTCTTTTTTTTTTTTTTTAAGATTTATTTTTATTTTTTTTTTTTATTGGAAAGGCGGATATACAGAGAGGAGAGACAGAGAGGAAGATCTTCCGTCCGATGATTCACTCCCCAAGTGAGCGCAACGGCCGATGCCATGCCGATCCAAAGCCAGGAGCCTCTTCCGGGTCTCCCACGCGGGTGCAGGGTCCCAAAGCTTTGGGCCGTCCTCGACTGCTTTCCCGGGCCACAGGCAGGGAGCTGGAAGGGAAGTGGGGCCGCCGGGATAGAACCGGCGCCCATATGGGATCCCGGGCGTGCAAGGCGAGGACCTTAACCACTGCGCCGGGCCCAAAGCTGCTTCCATTCTGATCCTGCTCCCTGCTAATGTACCTGGGAAAGCATAGAACGGTCCAAGGGTTTCAGCCCACCACCCATGTGGGAGACCCAAATGAAGCTCCTCACTTCGGGCTTTGGCCCAGACTAGTCCCTGTCACAGAGGTCATTTGGGAAGTGAAAAACTCGATGGTAGGAAGAGCTCCCTGAGTCCCAGTACTCTTTTAGGAGGAAAATACTAATGTTTTCATTAAATTTAATCCATAAAAAACGTAAAAGGTTTTTGATGTCCTGGAATCTAACAAAAAGGTAGTTTAGCACTGTCCTATCTGTAATGCACATAAAATCTTCTGTAGTTACCAACCGAGTATTTCTGGTCTTTCTAGCATAGCATAGAATCCTTAATTTATTTCACTATTTTAAAAAATGTTCTATACCATGAATGCAAAGGATTACAAAACTCTTTCAAACAGGCTCTGACTTAATCAGTAAGTCTGTTTTGCTGCAGTGTGCTTCAGACAAATGAACCCTGATCCTCCAAAGAAACAGAAAGGAAAAAAAAGGTGGCAGTGCAGGCAGAGAACAGCCCAGAGGTTTGTTTAGGAACCGAACAGGGAACTAAGGGATGGGGACTGGGCAATTCTAGTGCAGTGTCAGGACGCTCATTCACGCCACTGGTACGGGGTTCCGGTTTCCCCAACGCACAGGGTGATGTGGTCACTCTGTATTGGACAGCAAGGAAACACAGCCCCTGGCTCAGACCCGACTTTATGATGATGGGAATGTACTAGGAATCCTGACCTTTCCTTGGACTACAGATCCAGGATCCTCTCCTGAGATGCTGTGGGGCAGCAGCCAGCCCATCACCCCCACCATGCAAACAAAGCAGAAGCCAGCTACCCCGGGGGGTCTCTGTTGCAATGCCCAGAAGGTATACCAAACACAGGTTCAACTCATGATGGGTTTAGCAAGACACAAGCCCAACCTAAACTATGGAGCATCTGTATGTAATTAACTAAATGCCAAATGCTTGGCTTCACAGAAAGATCCACTGGTAGCAGCTCAAAGAACAGGTTCAACATAAACAAGTTCTTAGAAAATCCTTTACTTACTTTGACTTGCTCTTGGCAACTGTTTTGCAGAGAGCAGAGGTTGGGAAAGAAAATAAAAACATAAACTGATTATCACTCATGCAAAGTTCCTATAAATGTCTATAACAACCTTTAGTACTCTATTGATTAAGTACTTGTCAGTCAAGTACCAAGGGGGCCCCAAAAGTTTACAGAGAGTAGACTTTAACAAGTTTTGGTGCAAAAATTTGCAGTCTCTGCAGTCCTTTTATGCTTTTTCAATAGTATGCATTTTCCATGAACTGTGTGAACTCTCGAATTCCCTGGCTATTAGAGATGCCGCTATCATTTTATAGATGGAAGCTAAAAAGCTGAGCACAATCCAATCAATCCGCCCAGTGCTTTACAGGACCGCGGTTCGAGCCGGGCCGGCGACCTTCCAGGCCCTGTCGGCTCCGCAGCACCTCCTCTGAGGTGGCCAAGAAGACCTGTGCCACCTCTACGGCGCTTACTGTCCTGTTTGGCAAGTCAGCCTGTGCCACCCTTAGCCATGGCACCAGGCAGAGAAGGGAACGAAGTCCACCCGGGAAGATGGCAGGGCGCGGGGCCAAGGCTAGCGGCCGTGCCCGACTGCGTTATCACCTGGCAGTCCACTGCTGCCCGCTCGTCAGAGTCCGAGCGGAGCAGGCCACGAAATCTGGGGTCCCTCCCTGCTGGGACAGTCACTGACTGCGGACGACTGCCCACGGAGCCCTCGGCTCTTCAACAGCCCCAGCGACCCGCACGGGGTTCCACACCCGACCCGGCAGCCTCGCAAAGCCTGTCCTGCTTCATCCCGCCCTCGCCGCCGCCGTCAGCGCCACTTACAGGAGACGGCGGAGAGGAACATGGCGACAGCTCCCGGAAAGCCTCCGCCACCGACCCCAAGGCCCGCTACAGACAACTACTTCCGGGGGTACGGGCCGGTTCCGGAAAAGCACGTCCGGGACGTGCCCAGGTCACGCCTCCTCCTGACATACGCGAGTTTTCTGGCGCGGTGTTCTGTTTTTCACGCGGTGTTCGGCCTCCGTTCCCCGCCCTACTTCCCTAAAGCTGGGAGTCAGGGAAGTGTTAGGTCTTAGGCTTCTGAAATGCGTACAAGAACCAGGTGTGAGCCCCAGCTGAAGTCTCCACGATAGCCAGGGGCCATCACCTGTCTGCTTCCGTAGGTGCCAGTGGCCGCTCCGTCCGCTGAGGAGGCTGCAGCTGCGACTTGATCACGGGCGAAGGCATAACAAGCAGTGTCTTCGCCTGCACCAGTACCTGGAAAAAAATTTTATTAGTGTCCGGGGTTCGTGCCGCCGACCCTCCATTCCACCTCTGGGTTGTAGTTTGCTGCTTTCCAAACTTGTTTCGCTACATAACGGCCAGCGCCCGCATGAGAGCACAGGAACCGTTTCGTATCAGCTGTTCCAGCACACTTCTTCCCTGTTATCAAACACCATCGCACCCAGTTAAGGACTGCGCTCAGTCCCCTGGAGTTAGGAGTCGGCCTCGGGCGGCCCCCATTCCTTACTTTTCTGGTGGAACTCGGGGAGAAATAGGTGCACCTCCTTTACTGTGTTTTCAAATGCCCATCAGTGCCTGATAACTGGATTCCAGTATCTGAGATCAAGGGAGTACTCACATAACTTGACTGAACTTACAAAGCTGGTGAATAGACATGTCAATAAAATTGTGTTGCTGGACGCTAGGTCCTAGCACTATGCAATCATTCCTTTAAAAGGGTTTTTTGGAAAGGTCTGGAGTTACGGGGCCTGGTACAATGGCGCAGTGGCTAAAACCCAACCTTGCACATTCCAGAATCCCATATGGGTTATGGATCATGTCCTAGCTATTCCACTTCCCATCCAGCTCCCTGCCTGTGGCCTAGGAAAGCAGTCAAGAACGGCCCAAAGCCTTGGGACCTTGCACTCGCGTGGGAGACCCGGAGGAAGCTCCTGGCTCCTGGATCAGCTCAGCTCTGGCCATTGAGGCCAGCTGGGGAGTGAAACAGTGGATGAAAGATCTTTCTGTCTGTTTCTCCTCTCTCTCTGTAAATCTGACTTTCCAATAAAGATAAATCTTAAGAAAAAAAAAAAAAGGCAGAGTTACAGAAAGAGAAGGAGCCTCTTCCGGGTCTCCCATGTGGGTGCAGGGTCCCAAAGCTTTGGGCCGTCCTCGACTGCTTTCCCGGGCCACAGGCAGGGAGCTGGAAGGGAAGCGGGGCTGCTGGGATAGAACTGGCGCCCATATGGGATCCCAGGCGTGCAAGGCGAGGACCTTAACCACTTGCGCCACTGCGCCAGGCCCTGCTTGTTGCATTTTAATTCCTTTTTTACTTGTCAATTCCCTATTGTATGTCTTAGTTCCTAAGAACTTCTCAAGATCAGGACCTCTGTCTTACGCACTGCATTGCCCACCACATGGGCCAGACTTAGCTCAGGGCAAATGGATGCATCTAAGAAAGACAGGCTTCATACAGAAGTTAAGCTGTTAGCAAATACTGATACGCAAATGTCAAATGATAGTAGGTTTTAAGGTTCAGGAGGGTGTGTAAGTTCTTGAAATTCTTGAGTGGAGTGGAAGGAAGCAATGATTTTCCAGTCTCATTAGTTCACACTGCAGCCACCTGTTATTTATACCTAACACATTGCTGGCAACCGGCAAGTGTTAATTAAAAGGTTTATTAATACAGATGTAATTCATGATGAGGGGAGGAGGGTTCACCTGAATTTACATAATGAGCCTTCTGTGCCTTAGGAGGGTGCATCCTGGCAACACCCATGGGAAAGTTGTATTATGAGAAGAGGGCTGCCCCCTTTGGAAGTTAGGGATGCTGGTAGAAGGAGAAGACACAGCTATTTAGACTATGGCCTGAGCCCAGGGAAGTAGCAGGCGAATAGCTGCTGTGGGGTCAGGGCCTCATCCGCAGCATCTGCCTTGGGCCAGTGGGCTCCTGTGCCTGGTTAGCATTAGCATTCAGACTCTTGCAGGCTGGGACCTGTCCTTCCAAGCTGTTTTGAGGGCCTTGGAGGCCCATGGTCTAGCCACTATCACACCCACATCCTGCCTGACTTGTGTTTGAGGTACTCTACTGAGCCACTGTTCTAGTCCCCAGGGTCAGTGATCCTGGCTTCCTGACCCACCGCAGAGGCCTGGGAACACAGGCAGTGACAGAAGCTACAGGAGAACGTTGTAAGGGGGCCCAGAGCTGGAACTCTTACCCCAGACAGAGCTAGGCAGGCAGGTGGGAGACATCTTTAAAATCAGGGTCATGGGCCCTGCATGGTAGCTTTGTGGCTGAAGTCTTCGCCTTGCATCCACCAGGATTCCATATAGGCATTGGCTCATGTCCCAGATGCTATATCCATCTAGCTCCCTGCCTCTGGCCTAGGAAAGCAGTCAGGGATGGCGCAAAACCTTGGGACCCTGCACCAGCATGGAAGACCTGGAGGAAGTTTCTGGCTCCTGACTTTTGGCTTTGGGTCAGTTCAGTTTCTGCTGTTATGGCCTCTTGAGTGAACCAGTGAACCGAAGATCTTTCTCTCTGTATCTCCCTCTCTCTGTATATCTGCCTTTCCAATAAAAATTAAAGAAATAAAATAAAATCAGGATCATAACAAGGACACCCTGAGTCAGCCAGGCTGGAAGCTGGGGCACCGAGCAGGTCCAGGGTATGTTATAGGTGTCCTCTAGCTGGCATTCAATACCTGCTCTTCTCTGGCCTCGTCTTCCTAAGTCAACTCGATCTGTCTTGACTGGGGCCTACTAGGTGATGGTCTTTTCTAAATGAAACCTTCCTGAACGAGTACATTCCACCCTCTTTGCAACTACCCTCTTGCACCAGCACCTGGTAGACTTCCCAGCATTCTTAGGTCAGGGGTCCCTACTCCACTCTCTATCAGCCCTGCTCTGCCAGCCAGGAGTTCCTAACACAAGGCTGCTGTCCCACTTGCAGTCTAGACAAATGGGACTGAGCACCTGCTGCCTCAAGCTGTCTACTTTCAGCAGTCCTGCCACCAGAGCAGGAGGGGCTAAAGGCGGAAGTGGAGAGAGTAATGCAGACCAAAGCACAAGAGTGTCTGAACCATGGGCAGTAAGCACAGTTCTGGAGCAAGGGTGTGAGTGAGGTAAGCTAGGAAGGATGACTGGAGTCAGGTCATCAAAGAGCCCAGATGTTACAACTGGGAGCAAGGCCTTTGTTCTGTGGGCAGGCAACGCCTGTGATGTGACGTGACCTGACGTGACGTGATGTGATGGCAGGCCTGCAGGACAGCATCTGACATTCAGGTGTCTTCCAGGCTCACAGAAAGGATCAGTCTCCTGGTGAACGTCCCTTGCCATCTTGCTGCTGGTAGAGTTCCGGCTATCAGTGGAATTCAGATTGCCACTTGCTCAATGTCGCTGTGGTATCGGTCACTGCAACACCACACTGTTGTGTCTGCTGCTTTCCTGTCTGTCAGTCTCCAGGTACCCCTCTGCTGTTGCTCTGTCCTCTCCTATTTCCAGGAAAATGCCTTCTTTGTTTCACACTCGCTAATATTTCTCCATCTGTTTAAACATATCCTTATCCTATTCCGCCATCTTGATTCTCTCCTGAACTTTTTGTTGGGGCGGGTGGGGCAGAGAAAGAGGAGGAAGGGAAGGCTGTTGTTTGAGTTTGTAAAAAACTATGGCTTACTTTTGCCCCTCAAAACATGCATACATGCCCAATCAAGAACAATTCTACTTGCACATTCCAAGTGGCCCTTGACCCTGACCATTCCATGGGAGAGCAGCTGGGGAGCTTAATGCACAATGCCTGGCTGTCTGCCTGCCCCCGGGACCCTGCTTTCCTTGATCTGGGTGCGGCTGGATATGAAGTCTTGTCGGTTCCACTGCACTGTCAACGTTGATAAGTCAAAGGCTGATGGGCTCTGGATGAAAGCCACTTACCGCCAGGGTAGAAAGGCACCTGCCTGGGTAGAGAGGAAAAAGGAGACAAAGTAGCCAATGTGAAAGAATGAGAAGGAACAAGCAGAGGGAGAGGATGCTCAGAAGCCTTCCAGAAAATTCCAAATGCAATCCAAGAGTCTCTGAACACCAGGCCTGCAAGATAAATGGAAGTCAGCAGACAGCACCCTTCCCGCCCACACCTTTCACCCGCCCCTGGAGCTTCGTCTCTGGGCAAAGTCAAGCCATCCAAATACATGGCTTGATTGCAGGGAGAGGCGGGTGGGTAGGGAGAGGATGGCATCGGCGGTGGGGCCCATGGAAAGCACCTGTGAAGGTGTGGGAGGAATGAGCTAGAGTTCTGAGCCGGAGTCAAGAACGGGAATTCCTGCGCTGGGTGGGAAGCTGGGTGGTGTCACAGTAGGGGACATGGCAGCCCAGCTGGAGACGAAATGTACTTGTATCCAAAGCCTAAGAAGCCCCAGATCTTCTGTTTCTTTCTTTCTTTTTTTTTAAGATTTGTTTTCACTTATTTGAAATGCAAAATTGCAGGAAATTTTTACACATTGGTTCACTCCCCCGATGGCTGCAATGTTCAGGACTGGGCCAAACTGGTTAGCAGCCAGAAACTCTTTTCAGTTCCACATGGATGCTGGGGCCCAAGAATTTGGGCTATCCGCTGCTGCCTTCCCAGGTACATTAGCTGGTATATGAATCAGAAGTGGAGCAGCCAGGACTAGAACCAGCACTCACAAGAGATGCCAATGCAGGTGGTAGTTAAATCAGTTATGCCACAATGCCAACCTCCCTGAGGTTATTTTTTGTTGTAATTGTTGTTTTTATTTTAAATTTTTAATATTTATTTCATCGTTGAGAAGAATGCATACCCACATGGACCTCTAAAAATGGTGGAGAGCCCAGGTTACTTAATTAGGACATGCCCACCATCTCTGGTGATCCTCATCAAAACATTTCTAAGGCTTGTTCCTCTGGAAAGGCCCTTGGTCTAAGGAAAGAA